CGTGAATATGAAAATCCATTATCAAAGAAACCAAGAATAAGTGTACCAAAAATGCAAATTGTAAAAAAACTTCCAATTGAAAAACCAAATATCATTAAAAAAATGATCGCTGCATCTGGACCAGTTGGTTGATTAGGTCCTCTTATTCGCCCATAGTAATCATCTGCATAAGTTTTTACATATCCATCGGTTACTATTCATCCAAAAAAAAGAAAGTTCATTTTTCTTTTCTCATCAATCAACTCACCTTTAATTAAAATTAGTATATTGTCAATAAAGAACAACAATTGAACGAACATGAAAATATTTTATAATTGATTAAAAAACAAAAAAAAAAAGAATTTTTCTCACATTTAACGCTTGCTATTAAATTTCAATACGTGTTATATTAGCAAATAACACTTTATGTGATATTTTTTCATTATAAGATTTCTCTTTAACTAAAATGGCAACTATTATGTCATGTGTTAGGAAAAAAAGTATCCAATTTATAAAAAAAAAATACTTAAAACAGATTCTAAATCAGTTATTTTAAGGCATCGGAAATTTCGAAATTTTTCTTGTCGTCATGTTTGGATAGAGCTCTCGTCTAGTGACTTATAATAATGTTATTTTTGACATAGTCATATGATGCTTTTCCAGTGAAAAAATCAGAAAAGTCTCCAAAAATTGTAATACACCAAAAGGCATCAAGTCTGAATATGTACCTAATTTGTTTTTTCTTACTTTTCTTGTCATCTAGTTAAACATGCTTTTTAAAAAACATTATTGAATTGTTGAAGAAAATTCATTTTTTCAATATAATAGCAACAAGGTCATAAAGATGTGTTTGTATATTCAAAATTAGCATCGAATAATATACTTGAAATGAAAGAACCGAAATTTGACGAAAATTAGATATTATTCAATACATATTTTTGTGCTGATTCTGGATACTATCATATCGAAAGTATGAATTTTCTCCATTTCAATTTTTATAGATTTTTCTAAATTATTTGAATTCATAAGTTTCGCTACAAAAACATCGTCTGATTATGTCAATAATAACATTATGATGGGTAACTCGATTAGCACTGTCCAATTATGACAACAAAAAAAGGTTGCTCAAATTTCTAATGGCCAATACTTTTCTGAATGTTCTAATTGAAAACTCAATCTATGGATTCATGTTTTTTTTTTTTTTGTTTTTTTTTTTTTCATGTAATAACACAAAAAACAGATATCTATAGCGACAAGAAAATTTATTTTCATTACTAATTCATTTTATACAATAATTTTCTTGTATCTTCATTATGCCTTGTCGATCTCAAAAAGTTTTATGTCATAAAAAAAAGCCAAATTCAACAATGACGAAAACAGATCAGTTAATACAATTGAATACAAATGCATGTGATCAAACTCAACGTATATTTTCATTTTAATATTATATTATATTATTTTATTTTTCTGAATAGCTAATATAATTTCTCGTTTGGAATCAATTGGTAATTTAATAATCAATGAATTAATAGGATCAGAACGTAATCATTTAAAACAACAATTACTTACATCTTGCATTTCAAAGACAAATACAATTCATAATTTACCATTTTCTTCATCAAAAACAAGTTTAAAACAAGTATTAACGGATTTACATATATTTGATCGTCATACTCAACGACAATATCGTACAATTGGTACAGGTGATAATGATATAAATATAAGTACATCAACAACAAATATCAATCAATTAGATATAACAACAACACAAAATAATAATACAAATATATTAAATGATGAAACTCAATTATCAACAGCAACAAAACGTAAAAAACGACAAACTAATCATGTAAATTTATTACAAATAAATGAATTGAAGAATACACCGAATATAATAACACGAACTATATGTACAAGAAGTTCAAAATTGAATAATGTAAATAACAATCAACAACAATCTAATCCTAGTTAGTTGAAAATATAATTTTAATAATAATAATAATAATCAAATTTTTATTCTCCATTTGAAAAGTCGATAGACTTTATTGTATCACAAATAGCTCAGACATTAAAGTAGCTCGTGATTTACTGTTTTCAATATTTTGAAAGAAAACAAATATGGAAAATGATGCCCTTGAAAAGTTTTCTATTACATGATGACTGTTAAGATAGTTATTTGATAAAGAAAATTATGATCTCTCTAGGTGGTTTACCATACTGATATAAGTGGGGACGTTGGTTTTCTTGTTGTCAGTTTTAATTAAGTATTACGCGGGAACAATAGATTTTTATAATATCGATTTGATTATCTCATGTCACTTTAACAAAGAAAACAAACACTATCATTTATTTCAACATAGTCAAAACTTTCTACATCAACTCATTGCAAATCGACCAGTGATCAGTTAGCCGATTTCGAGATCTCAGCAGAATACATATAACTTAGCAAAGATATTCATCTAGAGAAATCATACATGTAATGGAAAGTTTCCCAAGGCATCGTTTCTAAAACGGTCACTAAGAACAGATAACTGCTTGAATTTTATATTGATTGATACAGTTATCTGTCTTCTTTCACAATATTGAAAACTGTAAATCGCTCGTTAGTTTATGTTTGAAATATTTGTAAGACAACAAACTCTATTGACTATATGAATTAATAATAGTTATTCTTAAACGAACACGTAAACGTCGATCATCTTTAATAACTACACAATCTCAAAACAATAATAATAATGTAGTAGATAATATAATAGAAGAATCTCGTTTAAGTTTACAAAAAAATATCGGTACGTATATTGTTCATTATATTTTTTTATATTATTTATATTCTTTTATTAGGAAATGATGTATCTGGTATAAAAGTATCTCGTAAAAAACTTCAATCATCTGTTCCGTCGTCAACACTTATCGAATGTACAAAAACTACAAACGACTTTTAATTTTATATTTTAACAATTTTTTTGTTGCTGAAAATACTTTAGTTTAGTATATAAATAAATAAATAAATAAATGGCGCCATTAGAAAAAATAGAAATGGCGCGTTTCGTTAACAACAATTAATCTTTAGTATAAAATAATCGATTTCTTTGTTTTTTTTAAATTCATTTTCTGTGTCCAAGTGTTTTTGTTCGTATTATTACGATTGTTTTGTTATTATTAATATATACATATATATAGTATTTTTGTTGTGTATTCATATTGCAACGAACGTCAATGTCTTACGATATGACAACTGGTACTGCGAAATTTGAACGGATGACAAAAGAAGAAAAATTACGTTTTTGTCAAGATCTTATTAAACAAGCTGCTAATTTAACTAAATCATCAGATTTAAGTGGTATTCGTTCGACAGGAAGTAAATCAAGTATTAGTGGTGTACGTTCAACAAGTAAATCAAGTAAAAGACCAGCTTCAACTAGTGGTACTCTATCGAAAAAAACTAAAAGTGGAACATTAAGTCATGATGAAAAATCAAAATTACATAGTAAATCAACTATAGCTAAACAATCAGCATCAAAACCTATGGACAAATCATCTACATCACATAATGTTTGTGATTTCATATTTTTTTTCCTATTTTTCTTAATTTATAATTTCATCTAGCCACTAAAATCGAAGACAAACTTTCGTCAGCATTCTTCAGTTCGAGTTAGTATTTTTCGTTTTAGTTGATTATACTGTATATATTAATTTGTTTTTTTTTTAGTCGGAAGATAACAAATCAAAATCAAAATCGAAAGCAAGTAGTAAAAAATCTTCTGTACGTACAGGTGTTAAAACAGGTAGTGCAAGTGGTATTCAGTCAAGCATGAAAACAGGTAATAATAATGTTAAATTTTCTAAATAGAAGAAATTATATTCTTTTTTTTTCTTGTGTTTTGGTGTTAAACATAAAACCAAATCAAAATCGAAAACTGCAAAATCTGGAACAGTTAAACGATCGACTTCAAAATCAGTATGTCAATTTCAGAGTTGTAACCGAATCGGTTAGAAAAGAGTTTATAGATATGCCATAGTTTTCTGATAAAATTTGTTGAGAGTTTGGTTGCTCTTAACTAAATAATCAAACAGTGTGGTTTCAAGAACTTTTAGTTTTATATTGTTCTGTTCGTCCACACTATTTTATTCCTTTAATCGAAGTATATTGTAGTTTTTTAAAAAGTACAACTTGAACTAGAATTATATTATATATGTTTTGGTACAGATCACATGGATCGTCGTTCAAACCGAAATGTTAGATTTCATTCTGAGAAGACTGACGAGGGAGCTACCCGTACTCATGGACCTTTGGAGCTAAGTTAAGACTATTGTATTACATTTTCGATTCGTCCTTGGGTATTTACCAAAAAATCAATTAACGCTATTTCGATCTGAAGTTTCGCTAATAAATAGGTCGAATGACAAGCAGAATATCCTGAAAATTTCAGCTGCAAAGAGTGTTCCTTTATTACAATATTGACTTTTCCACAAATGTTCGTTTGCTACAAAAGATTGAATTTACTTGAAAATTCAGTAACTCAAAAAAAGGGACGTTCTTTTCACCTGGAAATTTTCAGAGTATTCTACTAATGATTTTGTCTGTTAATGAACGAAACTTCAGATGCCAATAGAGTTATGTGGTTTTTTCGTTAAGTAGCCAAAGCTGGATCGAAAATTCAGTAAAATAGTCATAACTTGGCTCCAGAGATCCGTGATCTTGAACCATTTTAGAATTTTTCTAGTCTTATTGAAACCTCCTTGTACATTCAATGTGAGCTCAAACAACGGATATCACTATGAGCAGATGCCTCATAAGTGTGAAAATTTAATTGTTGAAGTTTAGCAATTAGCTGATGGGTAGCTTACTCTGTTTTTTTTTGCGCTATCTATATAGCAATATCACCAAATTCATGTTTAAGAAACCTAAATGATCATCAGTCGGATCAAATCATTTCAAAAATCTTCGATCGGTTACAATTCTGGTCTATTTATTCAACCAATCAAAAGTTAATCTTTTTCTGTTACATTTTTCTTAGTCAATGCGTAGTAATAAATCAAAGAATAAACAACAACATCCATCTAATACGGCTTCACATTCATCAGTAAAAGTTGATGGTACAAGTGCTGTTCGTTCGGCTTCACATATAAGTGGTTTGTATTTGTTAATTAACTACACTGAATCAACTTATTCGATAATAATTATAGGTAAAAAAACAAATGTAAAAAGTGGATCAAAGACTGAATTAGGAGTAAGTTAAATAGAACTTTCGTTATTGAAATAAAAAAAAAGCATTTTCAAATAAATTGATCATAGGACTCGCCGTTCACTGCTGCTGCATCATCTGGTATTATTTGTTTTAAACTTTTCTGAATAGATAGTCTGTTGTTTCCTATCAGATATACACACAAAATCAGAAACTAAATCAAAATCAGCGACACATAGCCAAAGCCAACCAGTTGGTGGTGCTTCAAGCATTCGTTCTACTGGTAAAATTTCTATTTTATTATCTATATTCCATGTTAGAATAATAATTTTAGCTGTATCAAAATCACACAAGAAAACGAATGGAACTCAAAAGACAAAATCAGGCACTAAGAAAAAGGTTAAATTTTGCTGAATCACATAAAAGCACGAATATTTTTTTTTCATTTGATAGACAATAGTTTCATCAGTTCGTTCAGCATCCAAGTCCTCACCGATGAGTGTCAAGACTGGTAGTAAAACCAAATCAAGTACAAAATCAGCAAAAGCAACAGGAAAACATCAAACACAACAATCAAAACATACACGTATACCAATAAAAGATCGTACTGAAACATGTGCTGTACAATTTGTACCAAAGTTTAATTCAAGTTCAACAAAAAATCAAGTACCAATCTATCATCTTATTCGTCATGCATTTGGTAATATGGTACGTGAAGCTATATGTCAATTAGATAAAGAAAAATCAGGTGTTAGTTCTCAACAAATTATTGATCATATACTTAAACATTATTCATTTCCACAAAATATATCTCAAAGTGCTATACGTAATCGTACAATATTTACAATTAATGCTGGTTTACGTGCTGGTACACTTCTTACAGTTAGTCCAAATAAAGGTGTTCGAATTGGTCGTATGCGTCGTATCTATCCACGTATGCTTGGCTAAAAGAAAAAAAAAAAAAGAATGAAAAAAAAGTAACTTTCCATTGTTTGTCTTTTCCTTTTGTATTTATACAACGAGAATATTATTCTATTTAAATAAAAGAAAACAAAAAGAAAAAGTAATGAAAACTTTTTTCTTTAGCTATTGTTCCTTTTTTCCTGCTTTTTTTTTTAAATTCATTTATCAAATGATTGTTGCCATTGAATGTCGTCTGTGCATGTTAAACACTTTGAAATAGACTGATGCATTTTAATTTTTCATGTCGCTGACAATAAAAACTACTTGAGAACATGTCATTTTGACAACCACTAGTTTGAATTTTTTTTTCATAGACGAAGGACATATTTTATTTTTTGGCTTTTTTAAATTTAATGTATGAATAATGCTCGTTCATACAACATTGAATAATTGGTAATGTATAACATGATTTGACATGTTTATTGATATACAAAGTACGCCATTCTGTCTCGCTCTCGCTCTCCCTCTCTCGCTTTTGACAAGAGAAAAATGCACAATAACAAATTAAGTAATTATATTCAGTCTTTTTATTGTAATTTAAAACCAAGTTTTAATATTTAAACAGGTACAATATTGATTCAATAACAATTTTTTAGTCTATCGTCGTAATAGAATTCATTAATCTTTTCATTTAAAATATCTTCAATATGTTAAAATGCATCACTTACAGCATGATTTTTTTGTTTTGCTACAAAATGAATTCTCTCAAATTTCTGTTAATTTACTTAGACTCATTATAATATAGGTTACTATTTAAATAAAATTCCATAGAATATATTTTTGTGGCTTTACTCATTTAACAATATATTGAAATAGAATAATAGAATAGAATTTATTCTATTTACTCAGTTAATATTGCAAATGACCAAGCAAAAAAATGTTTAAAGTTTTCAAATAAAAATGCCTTTCATTTGTATACTTATTGTTAACTTGATCAAATTTTTAACATACAAGAAAAAAAAAACAGTAGAATCTTCTCATATATTAATTAATAATTAATATAACAAATATTAAAATCTATTATATTTATTTGTCATTCATCAAATAAAAATAAATAGTCATTATTTATTTGATTTCTTTTCTCTCTAGATAAACGTGATGCTTACAACACGACGATCAACAAATCGTATTGATATATATGATAATAGAACTTTACTTCATGAATATGATACAAATATAAAGTCAATCAAAACAAATCTTTATTCACCATCACCACCACCAATGTCTTATCGTGATTTACGTTCAATTATGTTAAATAAAACATCATCATCATCAAATGTTGTTATTATACCTGAATCATTGAATTCAACACAAAAATCAATAAAAAATTCATCAAATGCAATAACATCAGAAAATTCTCGAAAAAGTGCACATCGAAGAAAACATAAACGTCAAGGTGTTGATGTATATCGATCACTTGTACGAACAGATTCACGTTGTTCAGCATCATCTGAACGTGATATAACAAATGAAGAAATGATCATTTTAGCTAATTCATTTGTTATTGATCATATAACATCAACACCAACAAGTGGTTTTTTTCATCCACAAAATTTACCTAATATTCAAAGACATCGTTCTATGAATAATAATGGTCGAATAGGAAGTAGTCATACAAAATCAAGTTATACATCATCACCATCATTATGTATTCAACATCTTGGACGTAGACGATCAACAACTCCACAACAAACACATCGAACATCACCTATTGATGTACTACAATATGAAACAACTAATAATAAAATGACAATAACAACAACAACGACAACAAAAATTGCATCACCCATACCCGAATCACAAACTCGTAAACAATTACATGTGTATATGCCACATATAGTTTCTTGTTAGTTTGCAAGAATTATTTTTTTCTTCTTCATGTCACGAACTTTTCTCTTATTGTTATTTGCTTCAAAAAAGGAAAACTACCTTCTCCTTCTTCTTCTTTTTTTTTTATTTTTACTACTCGAAAGCTCATAAGATTGTTGTGCAATCAAGCGAGAGTAATATTCAAAAAGGAAAAGTAGCAATGAGAGAAAAAATTTTTCTAAGCACATACTATGATTTTATTGATAATAGGAAATAGAAAACAAATCATATTAACTGTCAATTTTTTGTTCGTTTCTTTTTTTTCCTCATTATAACATAAAGTAAAAATCTTCATTTTCTATTAATATATGTATAAATCAATTGTGCTCAACTATATAGTTACTAAAAAGCAACTAAAAAAAAAGAATGAACTGTTAATGCAGGTTTTTACTAATGCTTGCATTAGCACGATATAGAAAACACGAGAGCTTTCGGCCTGGTTGAGGGAAATAAAAAAAAAGTTAAAGAAATCTAATCATAAACATTATCATCATCGTAGTCGTCGGTCTGTTCTTCTCTCTCTCTTTGTCTCCATGTGAGTGTGTGTGTGTTAGCAATCATAAAACAGCATTAGTTCTGATATATTTTATCTAGAATGATTGAAACACCACAGGAAACAATTATGATGCTCAATGAAGAACAACGTTTTGCTCTTCATTTTATAACAAATTCAAAAAAATTATCTTTTGATCGTTATGCCTATTCACGTTATAAATATGGTGATAGTAATCAAGCTAAACAATTTGGACAAGAATTATGTACAGGTTTCCTAGAAAAATATCATGATTTTCTTCTTTCATCAAATCAACAATTTATGGCTATATCATCACCACGTGGTATTATACCACCGGCTGCCTATTATATATTTCAAACATTTTTAGAAAAATTAAATCGTTTTTTACAATCAAATGGACGTCCACCAGCAATAGAACATACAATACAACGTTTAAGTACAATACCAGAAGATTATTCATTATTATCAAAACGTGAACGTTTTGATCGTTTAGTTGATGAACGATATTCAATTGATAGTCAACCGGTGATAAATAAATTTTTATTATTTATTGATGATATTCGTATTACAGGTAATACGAACTAAGATTGAATAGATTCAGGATTTTTTAAAATTTAAACGAAACTCAAATTAACATTGGTTTTGGAATACTCTGAATCACATCAATCCTATTTCTGGCAAAAAACAACACATTATTGATACAATATTCTTTTTCCTTTATTATTATTATTATTATTATTATCATGATTATTTTTCTTTTTGTAGGTATGCATGAAATGAATATTATTCGTTTATTAGAAACATCACAAATTTATAATTCACGTTTATTTATTTATTATGCACAATTAATAAATGATCAAGTACCATCATCATTTGAACATGAATTAAATCGATGTGCAATTGATAATCTTGAAACACTTCTACCAATCATACATAATCCAGTATCATCATTTCAAATAAATACACGTTTATTAAAAGAAATTTTACGTTCAAATTTATCTGAACTTGATCATTTTTTAAATTCAATCAGTATTGATCTCGTGTCAAAACTTTATTATGCATGTCTTGCATGTAATTATCAAACAATTGAAATATTTACTGATAGTTTAAATCATATGCATCGTTGTCTTCAACAACGACAAAATATTGATAATATAAAACATTTAGAATAAAAGAAAAACAAGAAACATATAATAATAACTGAATAGATTTGTTTAGTAAATAATACATTATTGCATGCTCATGAATTCTCTTTATTTTTGTAATTATAGGAGACTAACCGATAGCTTTTACAAGTTATATTTTAGTTACGAATTAAAAGAAAACATGATGAAAGATATGTTCTTATCGACGTCGACCAAAATATGTATCCCAATGATGTTTTCGTCCAAATAATTGACGTTCTATTGGAGCATGACTTACGGTTTCATATGAGCGAGTTGCCGGAGTCATAAAAGCTATTGATGGAAATATAAAATGAGCTGCTCGTGCTGATACAAATACTTGATCATCATCGTCATCATAATTTTGCTTATTATTATTAATATTATTTGACAGTGAATATGGATCATCAAGAGTAATCGATCCATAACCATGCATCACAATAAGATATGATGCTAAATATATAAAAGAAAATGCTTTCGGATCAGTTTCTTGATTAATTTGTATAATTTATATTGAAAAACGAATGTTTAGTAGAGATTAAAAAAAAACACGAATACTTACCGATAATAGAAAGTAGATGAAAGCTTGAAACCATGATGACTATATACGCGATTATGGTTGTTCGTGTTGTCGATGTATGGGCAATTTATTTTTTAGCATTCATCTCGAGAAACGAGAGAGCAAGAATTAATTATGAAGAGTGGATTGATCTTGAACTAATTACATATGGCTTTTTACTCGTTTTCACAATACAAGTGAAAAAATTGACATTCACTATTATCTGTCACGTCATTCATCTCTTGTTTTTTATTGGTGATCATATCTTTTTTTTTCTTTGTCTTTGGCTTTTCTCTATCTCTTTTAAACGCTTTTTTCTTGTGTAAGTTTTCAACCATCCTGAAATTGAGCCTCAACAATAGAATCTCTCAATAAGTCGAAAACATGATTATAGTTATTGGAAGAAATGCAAAATGAAAGATAAGAAAAGAGATCATTGTTAAAATATGCCAGATTGTGTATGTTACACTTAGACTTGTTGTAATATCATGTAGATAATGACAAATCATATATGTATATAGAACAATGCATATAGGCAAGGCATGCATATATATATGTATATATTAAATTACAAAAGAAAAAAAAAAGCCATGAACAAACAAACAAAATTTTGTCGTTTATATATCTATGTTGTCTCATCATCAATATATACAATAATGCCACTGTATGAGCAAAATGACTACTGAAAAAAAAAGAAAAACAACAAAAGAAAAAAAACAATCAAACAAAAAAAAATTGTTTCTTTTTTTGTTTTGATCAATGACCAGCATCACAAGAAAAACGAGAGAAAGGCAAACAAATAACTAATTTCATCAAGAAGAAAAAAAAAACATAATTTATTGTATACCAAATGTATTTGTTTCTTCAATAGCTAATAATAATTTATTATATAATATATCATATGATGTATAAGATGGTAAATCAAGACGATTAAAACATGTATGTGCACGTGGTAATGCATCTGATATTCCCCAACGTTCAATACAAAAACGTCTTGGCCCATTTGAACCACGTAATGCTGAAAAACCTTCATATGGTATTGATGATGTACCAGTAACAAATTGTAATAATTTTAAACGTTGTTCATTATCAAAACGTTTTTCAACACAAAACCAAAACCATTCAATAACATGATGTTGTGCATGATAACCACCACGATATTCTGTATTCATACGCCAATCATTTAAATCAATTTCCATTGTACCACATAAAGCTAATTCTAATTCACGTGCATCAAACATTGATGAAATTAATTTATGATCACCAATTATTTCATAAAAACCACGTACAAAACAATCAATTTGTTCTTGTACACCACGTTCAATACGCCATTTAATAATTAAATCAAGAAATTCACGTTTATTACGTTCAGTAACTTGACAATTTTTTCCATCGGGTTTTAATTCTTTTTCAATTATTTTACCACATTGATCTTCATTAACATAAAAATATAAATCTTGATTTTCAACATTATTTTCTTTTATCCATAGTAATGATTGATAAAATTCTGGATCAAGAGATTCTAAATCAGCTAATGTAAATGATTGATGTTCACGTAATAATGCTTTATATAATGGACGAACAAGAAATGCATCAACAAGATATTGATTTATCAATGCTACAGCTACATTAAAAAGAAACAACCATATAAAGAATTAAACAAAAAAAATAAATAAATAATTATCAAAAATCGTCATTCATTGATAAGAATATACCTAATGAGAAAAATGATTAATCGCTGATGAGCCCACGACACAATCTGCAACGTGTTGACACTAATGAATTATGGATACTCTGAAAAGTTCGTGATGTTAGTTTATTCCTGTCAAGATCAAGGTAAACGATTAGGGTGGGAATGAGAACTTTCCGTTCCTAAAGATGTCTAACTTTCTGCAAAACTTTTTTTTTATAATCTCGTGGGAAATTATGACGGAAGATAAATTTTAATGGCTGCAAGCTCTATGTCGTATAGATATTCATACAAAGATGTCTTCTCTTAGATAAAAATCAAAAATAGTCGATGATTTTAGCGGCTTCTGTTGGATCTCGGCGAAAAAGACATTTTCAGATCCTACCAAATTCGAAAATAATCGGGAACCATGATCGAGTTACTGCATTTTTTAACTAAAGCTGTGGTACACCTCAGAAATATTCAGACAAACTGATTTTCTCATTTTTCACAGAGATAGAAAAAAAAACAGAATAGTATGTGATGAAAATTTTAGTTAAGTAACAATATATTTTTGATATCTTTATTCAATGTTAAGAACCTAGCTCAAATTCAGATACTGATACACATGTATTCTATTCCAAGATTTCATCGATGAACTATAAATACAAAGTTATTCAAAACAGGACATGATAACATTCAGATTCAAGAAACTATTTTTTTAATAATGTCATTTTAAACAGCACAAAACTCTAAACAAACTGACAGGTTACTGCATTTGCTACATTCCTTTCTTGAAAATCTGAAAGTATCACAAAACGAAATTTATCGAATACTCGACTGAAAACGCCTTTTTATAGGTTTTTGTGATACTTTTAACTTTTTAAGAGACAATCATTGAAAATGCGATGGTTTTTCATTAATTTGAGAATTGTGTGCTCTTTAAACTGTTATTGATAAAAAATAGCTTCTGGAACCTGAAAACTATTATTTCAGATTATAATTCATTTATGAAATCTTTCTATAGAATGCATTAGATAGAAAACTTCATTTTTATCAATAATAAACTGACAGCAAGAATTCTTTTCAGGGTATTCGTAATTCGTTAAAATCTATATGATGATAATTATCCAGACTCAGAAGTGACTGATAAGTTAGGAAACTTCTCTTATAAATATAAGTTTAGAATTGATTGTTTCGAAAAAACAATTTTTGAGTTAATATAACAATCTAAAACTTTATCCGACAAAGAAATCGACATTTTAGATTTCAACTAAAATGTTTTAGTCTTTTTCAAGAAGGAAACTTTATTACTATCAACAAATATATAATACTAACTTTAATTATTAATACATCTTGGCATGTATTACAAATAAATCATAAAAACAATACTAGAGCCTATCAGATTCAACTCTTGAAATTTTGTATCCGATGGGCTGTAATCGTCTGAGAAATATCTAGGGTGTGCTAATCATCAAATACAAATATCAGAAAACATTATGCTATCTTCGAGGCACCTATTCAGATTTGATAAGAAAATTTCATTCAGAGCATTAAAGTACGATCGACTAGTTTCGAAAAATGTTCAATAAGTTGGGTCCAAATCCAAAAATTTTAGATTCCATAAGCTCTAGTCAATAATATCTTGTTCATAAGAGTGTCTTCGCTGTTTTCTCTCTTACCAAGCATTCGTCCACCAAAACGCATCCATTCTGTATAATTTTCATTAAATTTTGACATTGGACTTATTTGTAATGTATATTGATCACTAGCTGAATATTCAAAAAATCCATAATATGGATTAAAAAATTGTCTTGACATAAGTAAAAAGAATTCTCTTGATGGTCCACCATAATCAAGACCTTCTTCACCTGTAAATGTAATAAATAATTTATTTCGTTGTAAATCTTTTTTTGGTATTTGATTCATAAATTTTTCAAATGCATCAGCAAGTAAATTATTTCGTGATATAGATACTTTAGTTTTAGATGGACCTGTGGCATAACCTTTTGAATCAAGTTTTTTATAGAAAGCACGTAATTTTTGTTGAAAACATGGACGACGCGATGATGATGATGAGTGTTGACTTGATGAACGCCGAGATGATGATGATGATGGTTTACTATGTTCAACAATAAATGTTGATGATGGTGATGAAGAAATAAATGATGATACTGAATGTGATGTTGTAACAGTAGCTGATTGTGTTAATGGTGGAATATAAGACATAATATCTTCATGAAAGACACTAATAAGTAAACTTAGATCAACAGAATTTGATAATGTATCAAGTGCTCGAACACCATCTGTACGTATTAATTGAATTTTATCACGTAATTTACTTGTTAATGGTACAAGCTAAGTAAGAAAGAAAAAAAAAACAATAATAAAAGAATAATTTTTGTTTTGTATTTACTTGATTTGCTTTAAGTAAATCAAATATATGTGATTGTCGCATAAATGCAACAACTTTTTCGTTATAAGTCATTGTAATAAGTTCATGTGGTTTTTTATTTGTTCGAGATGATACGGAAGAATTCTCATCATTTCTATTCGATGGTGGTAATGCCATAGCAGCTATTATTGATTGTTGTTCATCATTATTTGGTAAACGTGGATCAATATATGTTGTTGAACGTGTATTATGATCAACAAAAAATAATTTTCCACTATCATCATGTTTAATATCCCAACGAGATGGTAATGGTCGTGTTGGATCAGCAAATAAATTAAGAAAACGTACTAGTTCTTTATTATGTTGATATCTTTTAAATAATAATGGATCATGTCGTATACGTTGTAATATACCGGCTAATGAATCGGATTTAATCATCTGACGTGCTTCACGATGTGTTTTAAAAAATTGATAAAAATCTGATCGACATATAAATTTTAAAGCTGGAGTTGCACGAACATAATCATCTGTTGTTTGCATTGTTGAAGAAGCTGATGATGAGGATGATGATGAGGATGATGATGATATATCATTATTTGTAGTATTATTATTGTTATTATCGGAAGAAAGAATATTGGAAGAATCGACTGTGGAAGAATTTGTCGTTGTTGTTGCTGTTCGTCGAATACTTTGATAACGTTTATCCATTCGTTCACGATCAATTGTTGGAGATGAGTTTATAGGAGTAGTAATAGCAGTGGCAGCAGCAGCAACAGCCGTAGCCGCTATTGGAAGACGAGGTGTTGAAACAAT